GCTAATCTAAGATTTAATGTGCCACTATTGGCTAATATAAACAGGGGATTACGGATTAGTCAATTTAATTGGAAGAAATAAGAAATCGTTTGTTCTCTTGTGTAGGTCAATTCAGACCTTAGTCTGGGTTCTCGTCCACACCAAGATCTTGTAGAAGCGTATTTGACAAAATTTTCCTCAAAATCCCATATACTGAACCCAAAAGTCACGTGGTGACACTCCTAAAATGTCGACAATTAGCAAAGTTACTATCTGTCACTCTTTTTACAATCTTTCCTTTTGCCATTTAGCTACGCAAATCATGTCTGAGTATAGTGATTGAGCTCTTAGGTTTAAGCTTATTACAGAAGGTCAGAAAGTCCAGGAGCCACGTGTTTCCAACTATGTTCTAAAATCGTCAAGAAATAGTAAATCACGTTTGTGACAAATCCACCTGAGCGCAAAGCTCCAGAGGAGCGCACAGGGAATACGCGCAATACTGAGGACATATTTAGGTATAGCCGCAAAGATCTGTTATCAGCCTCATCTCAAGACAAAGTCCGGTGTATTTTGTAAAGATAATCTCATGGAAGTTCAAGTGACTGGGTAGGTTGGGCGAAGAGAAGGGACTTGCCGAGGGTCTGGCGAGAATAAAAGGTCCTCGGTTTCAGCCCCTTTGCTGCGCTGACGAGTGCGTCCTGACAGAGGTTAACGTACCGTAAAGAGGTTAAGTAAACGGACATTCCCGTTTGAAACCCTTCAGACACATAAGGCCTTATGAGAGGACGACAAAGGTGGTCTGTGCAGTGTGAATTTCTTTCCATTTCTTTCCTCTATCATCAGACAATACAATTATGAATCAATAGTCTCACCCAAAACCAAAAATGCACAGCACTGACTAAAACTGAACTGACAAAATCCAAGAGTACAGTGAACATACAAATGGTACCAAAACCCCGGCTGCATCACAAATACGATAAATAAATCAACCACAGCAAGTGCGCGATTCCTCTTTCAGCTGCATTTTTGAGTATAATTCAAGACATTAATATAACAAAAACTATGCAAAGAAAAGAAGTCATAGAGCTCAGGGTTTAAAGTGATAAGAGGAAATATTCAGCCTATACTGTATTTTACAAGGCTATTAGGTGCACTCATGCAATTGTGCAAATCCGAACAGTAAGGGGTAAAAAAAACTCTCCTACATCCAAATCCTTTAACTTTGTAGCTGAACATCTGAGTGCACAGGGTCCATGTGAGGCGGGCTGATATGGAGCTAAAGCCCCACTGTTTGTGCACCACACTATGCTGTTGACTTGTGCTGAGAGGAAAGAGAACGGCTGAGATTATGGGCAATTAAAGCCCACTTTATGCTAGTCTGCTGGCGTCACTGAGTCTGGCCAGGAATGCACACCTCGGCTAATACTATCAATGAGAACAAACTCTGCTGCAGCAACTTCTTATGTACAGTGAATTATTAATGCCAGGGCTAGCACAGGGGCTAAGCTGCAGGCATGTTAATTCAAGGAGGTATGTAGATGTACTTTAGGAAATAAATTTTGACAAACTGCTTCGACTTCAGTGGACAAATTAAAATATATTCCTCTTATTAATACAAGAATTAAAAATATTACCTATAATCAAGCTGTGACGTGTTAAATGACATAACTTTATAGTCACCAAGTTCCAGTGGCAAAGGTTTAGCGCAGTAAGTTATTGTCACCATTAGAGGGCTCCACACAAACATGATAACAACCAGACGTCTAAGCACCATGTTGATTGCATTAATGGGCTAATCTAACAACATTGGAAATAGATGAACCAAATAATTCATGCGCATTTTTGGTCTGTGACGTGGGGTCTAAATGAAGTCAGCTGAGGTCTCTATCTTTCCCTGTGTCTGTACCAGGGGCTCTTAACGTAAGGGAGCAGTGAGATGCCCCTTAGGAGTGCCCTGGCTTCCTGTCTCTGCCCTTGTCTCGCCGCCTACGATGGAACAAACTAGGTCAAAACGTCTCCACTCCCATTGACTGGAAATCCTGCGGAGAGCGAGACGCGACTATTCACACATAACACTTAAAACAACTTTGAAATGAAGACTGGCTCACAACACAATTAAAGACATATAGAGGAAGAGACGCAGGTTCAAACTTTGGATGAGCCCACTTTCAGGTTTCATGCACAAATAGAGGAAACGGTTAATTATGGTGAAACATAACATTGGGCCGGTCGTAACAATTGTACAGTACTGGCTTATTGTTCAGTAAAAAGCATGTCAGATGGGATCATATAGATTCTTGGGCTTAATATGAACATTTTCTTAACAATATTGGAGTTCTTTTAACCATGGAGGGTTGAATAATTAACATAATTATTGTTTCATTTTGTTATTCATTTGTTGCAGCTTCTGCCTTTATGCCTTACTTTTAAAAATAGTTTACTGGGATTATCCCACTTTATTGTTATTGTGTCATAAAGTAGTTTAAGTATTATAGTTTGTCGCAATATCTTTTTTTGCATAGGAATATATCATGCTTCAAAATTTTGTATCCTAATGATCAGTTCCACAGTGCAGATAGAAAGGTTGGTTTTCAATAGGTTCTCAATTCTATGACGCTAATCCAGCTGGAGAAAAGTGTAAGGGCTTGTGGCTCTTTAAAGAAAGACTGGAAAATGTCAATGCTAACTATTTGACTGCTTATGTTCATTGCTAATGCTTTATATCATACAGTGTCCATTTACTTTTCAAAAAGGGAGTGATTTACCCCATTGCCATCTTATTTCACTTAGCTCTTGGCTGGTGTTAACAAAGGAGAGCTGGTTTGGCGGTGGACAGACCTGGCAGTCACCCGCTGGAAAGCTCTTTGTTGGGCCAAAAGCAGAAACATGCTCAATTTGCGGCAGCTGTCTCCTGGAGCACACTCTGCAGCTGATCTGATGGTGCGTGGACAAGGGTGTAACTGATGTCAGAGCCACAGTGGCGTGCAGGGAGTTATGGTGGAGAGTCAGGACAGTGGGCCCTGTGAAGCAAAGGGCACGCCACACTGGATGAGGATCAGGGAGAGAGAGGGAGTTAGAGAAATAGAGAGAGAAAGCCAAAGAAATGAAGAGAGAGTAAGAGGGAGAGAGCTGATAGTGGGAGCCAAATAGAGAGAAAGAGAGATGACAGAAAGTGGAAAAGAGAAAACTAGAATGGGGAATGATAGAGACAAAGAGAAAGAATGGATAAAAAGAGAGAGGCAAAGAGAGAGAAAGTTGGAGATGGAAAGAAAGAAAGAAAGAAAGGGAGCAGTTCACGAGAGCCAGGCAGAGACAAGACAGATGGAGAAAGGGAGGAAGAGAGAGAGAATATGAGGACAGAGGGAGACAGGAGAGAGCCGATAGTGAGACGACAGCCTCCAGTCAGAGTTGTTGGCCCCAGAGCAGAGGAGCTGGCCGGGGAGCTACATCAGTCAGACATGTTCTGTACACACAGAGATGATCTTATAATGGGCTGCACAACACACACACACGCACACGCACACACACACACATACAGTATATACACACACAAAATCATGGACTGAAGAATTACTGATATTACCTTTTGCTATTGAACTGTTTTATTTGATATAATGATATAAATAAGCAATTAAATAAATGATGAAATATTGTGTTGAAATAAATAAAATCACAACATGTCCTATAATAATAATAATAATTATTATTATTATTATAATAATAATGTCTGAAACACAAAGTTCAAACGCCGCCGTCACTTGTGAGTGTCACTGCGCTCGGAGACTGACCGAGGACCGCGCAGAAGCGAAAGGTCAGTGCGCTGACTCCATTCAGGGAAATAAAAGCTCAAATGTCTTGACATTTCAAAGGAAAAGGGTAAAGACGCCCGTCAGCTCTTATTTAAATGTTTCAGATTATTTAACGTGATCTTAATCACAGTGAAGTCGTCCTCCCTGAATGGACTAATAGATGAAAATTAGGCCACAAAGAGTAAAAATAAATAAATAAAAATAATAATAATAATAATAATAAACACGAACGATACGGGTAAAAGTGGGTTCAACTCAGTGTGTCTACTAGAAATTATACATTTGTTTTAAAACAAATAATTATTAAATATTAATATGGAAACTGTGAAGCTTTAGGCCTAAAAATCATGAAATATGAAACAATTTACACTGTCTCCTAAAGGACGCATCAAGTTGAATCGGATTTGTTTGTATGCAGTACAAGTAGCCTATTATTATATTAGTACACAAACTTTGGATAACCTTTGAAGGCGGCATGTTTCTCAAGATGCAGCCTTCGGTTTGTTGTTTGACACACTTCAATGCGCAGGGCTCTGAAGCCCATCAGTCAAGCAGCACTTAACCTAAATATTATTCCGTGGTCACGTGGCCAAAACCCAACTCTAATGATGCGCATGCAGTGTGTGAAGTCTGCAATCGATCTGAAGTTTTATTGCCTGTATATCACACTCATTAGCCTACAGCAGAGACAGACTCGTGGACAAGCTTATATTCACAGGCTCCACTCTGTCGAAGAGTCTAATAGCAGCCAAAGATCGCTTATGTGAACCACAGAGGACCGCACTGCCCCAGTGCGCCTGGAGAGTGGACTGGAGCGGACCCAAAGGTCCCGACCCCGGGGATGGCTGCAGCCTTGCATCTTTATTTTGATTTGCTCTAATTGACCCAAATAAAGGGAGCCATACGAACAGAGTTTTTTCAGCCTGTTTGGCCTAGAGGGGATGGGCCAACACGTGAATACGCTCACACACAAGCAGCGCGCACACACGCAGTGGCAGTGGATGCAGCAGCGGACACAGTTACCCCGTTCTCTCGCTGCTCCATAGTATGCTTTTTCTGTTTCACGTCACGGTATCTGATCCTCGCATACAGAGTCGAGCAGTCTTGTCTCTGTGATGAATCCACATCCACTCGCGGCGAAAAAACACGTGCCCATATGACTTGGCTTGGACTTGAAGGCGCGCGGCTGTGTTGCGTAAAAGCGCAGTGAACATGCCGCAGACGGCGTCCTCCAGAGCGTCATCCTTTTTTATTGAGAACATTCTTTCCACTGCGCGCAGTGAGCAAAAATCGGAACGAGGAGACCATGAAGATGCCGCGGGTTCATCAATGACAGCCTCAAACTCCGATACAATCGCTCCAGTGTCAGAGGGCTCAGTGTCAGCTGCGCGCTCAACGCGCATAGACTCACCGCTGCAGTGGTACCGTCCGAGTGTCGGAACTTTGCAAACAGCACACAGTGAGTACTTTCCTGCGCTATACAGAGTCATAGTAATTATTGGTGCTGTGAGATTTCAGCTTAATTCGTATGTGCAAGGGTGGATCTAAAGTTTCTAATTAGGCGCCACCGATGAATAACTCAAATAATGCTCTTGAGGGATTGAGCATCATGATGCTATACTTAAACTCTCTCTCTCGTCTTGGCTTTATGAGTCACCAGATCCAAACAAAGTGGCCACAAGAAGAAGAAGAGCTAGGTCATAAACTCTAATGATAACAAACTCATTAGCTACACCGTCCTCACACGAGCTCACTAGCTGTTACGCAATGAAATAAATAGACACATAAAACATTTAATCCACAACCATAAGTGGCAGGAGAAAGTAAGCAACAAATAGCTGCTGTTATACATTATTGCTTACACTTTTCATTTGAAAGTTGATTTACCATTTTTTTCCCAAGATGTAACTTTCTAATTTGCATAATTTGGCAAACATAACTCAAAACAAATAATAATAATAAAAATAAAAATAAAACTTCTGTTCCAGGTCCACAGGACACCTTTAACTCAGAGGAGCAACTGTCTTCTGTGTCGCCTTGTGGAAGAACTTCTCCAGACTCCATAACAGAAGGCAGTGATGAAACGGACAGAAGAAGCAGTGAGCACAGCGCGGTGGAGGATGGAGAGGACGCACAGAGCAGCTGCGAGAGTCGCTTGGAGCAGGTCACATGCCGCAAAAAGAAAACTCGCACGGTGTTCAGCCGCGGCCAGGTGTTCCAGCTGGAGTCCACCTTTGACGTGAAGCGCTATCTGAGTAGCACTGAGCGCGCGGGCCTAGCCGCAACGCTGCAGCTCACAGAGACCCAGGTCAAGATCTGGTTCCAAAACCGTAGGAACAAATGGAAAAGGCAACTGGCGGCGGACCTGGAGGTGTCTCACTTCCCCAACACTGGACAGCGCATAGTGCGAGTGCCCATCCTGTACCACGAAGGGCCAACGTCCACTGGCTCACTGGGGCTCAGCCTGAACGTGACCCCGGTGCCAGGCTTCCCCAACTCCATCACCTATCCACTGTCCTCTTTCGCACAGTCCATGAACGTGTTGAGGTCTCAGATGTCCGGCCTGGTCTAATTTTGTACTGGACAATAATAAGAGCGCACATTTGACCGCCAAAACAGAAAACAGGCTCAAATGCCAGTGGCCTGAGGAGAAACTATAGCCGCTGTAGACTGGACAAGGCCAAAGTGGTCAGCACTGTATTTACGCGTATTTTTTCTTCTTCTTCTTCCATGTAAAGGCCACATTTTCAAAGTTACTTTTTCACCATAAAATAAAATAAAATAAAATAAAGAATGAAATAAACACTGAGCCTGAGTCATATTTCAATGTGGAAAATAAATGCAATAATATTTTACGTTTATCGTCTTTTAATATTACAATATTATAAAATGTATTAAGATATTTGATATCAAACTGAAGAAACAGAGAAGAAAAAGAAAACACTGTCACACAGACACACACAATAATTGGGTTTGCGTTAATGCACCAAATGAGACTGCTTATTATTTAGGCTACCTCCTTGAGTTAGGAGATAACAAAATAATTATTTTATATAGGCCTGATTAAAAAAAAAAACATGGAGCCAGGTGACGTTTAGGGTTAGTCGTGTCTGTGGTGCACTCCAAATCCAATTATTTTCGTCACTGACCCGCTATTCTACCGAAGTTGAATGGTGGACAAGGACGCGTGTGAGTGGCGGGCGGAGGAAGGGTCTCACCCCACTGCTGCCATTGGTTCAAACTATGCAGAGTCCTCAGCCAATCGGTGAGCAGAGCGTTAGCTCCATCCGGTGAATCCAAAGCGAGACCAAACAGTGCACGGGTAGCCCCCGAGACTGCTGCTATGCGCGTGGAGTATCCAGACCCAGTGTCACCGCCGTACTTTATGTGAACGTACTGTGGACGTCTCAGGACTCACGCCGAGAAGAATATGAACAAAGTGCACGCGCCATGCCGTCCCACTGCTGCGCTCACCTTTACCATCGACAACATACTTAACTTGAAGTCCAGTTCAAGAAGTAATGACGGCCTTCCCACTCCGAAAAATGAAGTGGCCACGCGCACAGACATTTACCAGAACCAGGAGGACACGGGCCAGCTACCCAGACCTGTTATCAGCGGTAAGAGATTTTTTTCTATCTGTCTCAAGAACAGAGTTTGTCCTGACTCATGTATCCTCAGCACTATAGACTCATCCGCTTTCTTGTGTTGGCAGAGCTAATCGCAGATTCAGTCATCATTAGTCAAGGAGAGCAAGAAAAGTCCACGGATATACGCTTTGAAAGCGGCGACAGCAGCTGCGAGGACAACAGTTCCACAACCACGGACGCGTGCCACGATAGCAACTCCTCCAAAAAAAGCAAAATTATTACAAAAAAGAAGACGCGCACGATCTTTTCCAAGAGACAGATTTTTCAGTTGGAGTCTACTTTTGACATGAAGCGCTACCTGAGCAGCGCGGAGCGCGCGTGCCTCGCCAGCTCCCTCCAGTTGACAGAGACACAGGTCAAAATCTGGTTTCAGAACCGCAGGAATAAACTTAAAAGGCAGATCTCAACAGAGATGGACGGAACCGTCGGGGACTTTCCTGAGAGCGGGAAGGCGGTGGCTCTGGGGCAACTCCCGGCTCTGTATAAGGAGAGCAGTCTGCTGGGAAGGTGCTTGCTGCCCATGCCCCTGCCCGTGATGTACCCAGGCGGCAGCACGCCTTACCTCTGCTTCTCTGGCGCCTCCAAGTACTTTGGCTTGTACGACGGGGACGTATGAAGCCCGCACTAGGCAAAGAAAACTGTGATGCGCTCGGTGCCAGTCATCAGCATTTTAAAGCGTGGAGCAGGAGTTAGGCCTGGACTGACGGCACGAAATAGTTACATATCACGTTAATGTAAGCGGACTCAGATTTATTTATTTTTGAGCCTTATAGGCCTATGTTTTCTAAGGACTGCAATTCACATGTTTTAAAAACATGGCAGGCAAAAAAAAAAAAAAAAAAAAAAAAAAACAACTACAAAACCACAGCTAGCCTTATAGAGAGGCCTGCTTCACTATCAGCCCCATATATTTTTAATTCATGCAGTTATTATTATTATTATTATTATTATTATTATTATTATTATTATTATCATTGGAGCAGCCTCAGCCACCAAAGAAATTACTATAGCATAGCCTAAAGCTATATTTGCATGCAATTCCTGTATCAAAATAATTTTAAATGCACATAAATGATCGTGTATCTAATGAATGTAATTAACATCTTATTATGTCTCACGCATGTTTATTTTTCTGAATATCCTTCTATTGTTATGTTACTTCACATTAGTGGCTCATTACACCATTTATCAAACTGTTATTAAAATTTGAATTTAAAAATAATCATGTGGAAGACCTAACTGATTTAAGAAATAAGGTGTATAAAGCAAATGTTTAATTCTGGCCAGAAAAAAAATAGCATACAGTTGTCTTAACACATTAGTTTTTCATCATGTGTTTCTTACTCTTGGTATCAATAGAAAATGCATGTAATCGTATCATTGTTTAAAAAAAAAAAAAAAAAATATAATATATATATATATATATATATATATATATATATATATATATATATATATTTTTTTTTTTTTTTATATTTATATTTATATTTTATACACACACTCACACATACACACACACACCCAGGAAGTTATGATTTTCTCAATAACAAATATCAACTGATTTTTCTAATTAATTTTTCTGTCCATGGGCTAAAACAAGACACAGGTTATGTGAAAACACACACTGTGCCATAACATGATTAATATTTACATCTGCAAACCTTGGAAAAGTTCCATTACATTTTTTTATATATTCCCAAAAGGATATATTTTTACACATTGTTGTCCTATAAGATGAGGGATCTTGAAGCCACTTGCATGCATCAGTAAAAGTATGATGTGGAAACAGTGTTTTCCAAACTTACAGGGCTTGTTGTGTCCGTCTGGCAGTCTCGTGTTTGCTCACTACCCATAATTCATAGCAGAGGAAATTGTGGTTTGCCCAAGTAGCAGTAAACTGTACTTCAGTGATGCAGCTGATGTTGGATATACACAGTAGCACTTTATTCTTGTCATTATAAGTGCTAATTGATTCTCCCAGTGTTTCTTTTATTTTGTCACTCTATCCCCCTTGTCCATTGTTCCTGCACTTGAGTTGTCAGAGCCCATCAGAGTCCAGTGTTCAGTGAAGCAGGCAGTGTGCTGGTGCCCAGGAGAGGACACTGTACAACAATGGGTCGAGCAGAGGGTGAGAAAGAGGAAGGAGAGGTCAGTCGCCTGATGAGTGTGTGTTGATGTTAAAACGTCTCTGTGGCTCTCTATTGGCCAGAGAATCAAACATAAGATCCAAATTATTTAAGTGTAATTAAATAACAATTTATTCGTCCTAATATTTTTTGAGACATAGACCACAATTCTGTTAGGATCAAATTTCCCCAAATATAGCTTCTAACCATGATGCTACAATAACACAATTAACAGAATGTAGTGTAGATTTAATTTTGAATGAAACTAGCAACAACAAACAGAAAATAATCATCTCTCTCTCATGTTATGGTCACTGTTGAATGTTGCATCATATCACCAAACCAAGTTCTTACTTTGTGAATTTTGTTTGCTGACAACGGCAATACATTTTATTCTGATTTAGATGTTTAGTGCATCCCTGCCAGAACATGTTCTGTTCTGAAGTGCATATGGGCTACGCATGAGCAGAGTATGCCATCGCAATCATGTGCATAATGTAAGTTATGTATCTAAATTCATTTTAAAATGTCAAGATCAGCATGCAAAATCTGAGCACCCACTGATCATGATGCATTTAACCCCCAGAAAGTGTGTGTGTACCTGTGCATCTAAGTATCTTCTGAAAGGAGCTGGGGTTCCTCTACTGGAATTCTTCAAAGGTCCCCCCAGTCAAGACAATAGGAGAGACTGTCGCCAGCAGCTTTTCTTTGACAAATAAGGAAGTGTCAGAACTAATAGAACTTATAGAACTCCAAGATATTAGGAAAAACAAGCAATATTCATACTGCAAATACATCCTATAGTTAAAACAGAATGAGTTATTCAAAATGATAGAAGAATATCAAATTTGTACAAATGATGTAGTTTGATTGCAAAACATATCACTATTACTATACGTATTACTATAGAGACATGCAACTGCTGTTTGGATTCCCCTCTGTGTCCCTGGCTCTGTCGGGGCAACCTGAAACCTAAACTACATGACACAGCACATTGTAAAGTAAACAAGGAGGCTATTAGTTAGACAAGGAAACTCGAGACTAGACGCCCATGCATGTGTCGCACTTAAAGACCGTTTGATGGCCTATTGATCTGCTCAATTAGCCCAACAACCCCCTTCCCTAATAATGAAAATTGCTTGAGGAAATTGAAGGCTGGAAGGAGAAATAAGATAAAAGGTTATTGTATTCTACCATAAAATAACAAATAATCAAATAACTGTGTTTTGTGTTCACAGGCCTTTCCTATTATTGATGGTGTTGGTGTTTGAAGTAGCCAAGCAGAACTTTGGGTTTAGAAAAGTAGGTCAATATATGTAACCTAACGACAATAACTGCCAATTTCTCAAATCAGAAAAAAATCACAAACAATAGGAAGTTAGTTCAGCAAAATGGTGCAATAAAACAATTTATGATAACAGTAAATAAGTATGATAACATAAAAAAAGGGTATTCATTAAGTGAAAAGTTTTCACAATGGTTTATTCAAACAAAAAATAGAAAATTATAAATAGTGACAATTAGTTAATATTGGCATCCCTCTTTTCCCTTCCTATTGATTTGTCAGAGTACATTAAAAAGAAGTACTTGAGACAGAATTTTGTAGGAACTGGCTAGTAATTGGCTAGTATCTGCCCATTCATATTTTGCTGCTGTGAACTTGCTACTTTTTTAGTTCTTGGGACTTTTGTATTTTGTTTGGTTCAATTTAGATGACCCGAGTTTCAAAATAGTTCATTCATTGCATTTAGTCTGATCTGTCTGGGTTGAAGAAGCTTGCAGACACAATATATCAATTAAAAAGCATTGTTTCAGAGGAGCTCCCTCACGTCCTGTCCCCTCAGACACCCTCGTCAGGATAATGTGCCATTAATCTACCACTGAAAACACATTATTGGCCAATCAATAGACACAATGGAGGGATAAAGGCAGAGGAAAGAGGAGAAGGAAGCGGGGCAAGGACAGGACGCAGGGGGAAGATATAGCTAGTCTTGGGGGAGGCGTGCAGCAGAGAGATGGGGAGGAGGGGTCCATAACACTTATCCATAACACCAGAGATGAGTTTGTGTGTGCCCAGACATGGACACTCTGCGGTTTCATGCTCACAGTCAATACAGGTCCATTAACAACAGACAACTGTCAGAGGCAAACTTTTATTTTTTTGCACTGTTTATAACCACCTCACTGTAACATACATTAGACTCAAGTCCAAAGTAACTGTACCATATCATATCAGTACTTAAATACTGATTGAGAATGTTGGTCTAGGAGTGATACCGCACTGTACTACGAAGTATGTGGTATTGTCAAATCTATCAAAGGAAAATGAAATGGGGTACATTTCAAATAAACAAGTCTGTTTTTAAAATTCTAATTGAATGGCAATTTCACTGCACAACTTGATTTTTACTGCCTTAAAAATGTGAAAAACTGTTTGCTGTGGTCCAAAGTTGTTCCTCACTTACTTTATGCAATTTGACCGTCCTAATTATTCACAGTAATGGGTTTAAAAGCACTTCTTAGACACAGCAGAGTTTTATCATCACCTTAATGCTAAACATTTTAACATGCACTTCCTCATTATTGGTCAATATATACAGTATATCTGTACTGGGGCAAGACAAATTTGGTCAAATACATGGGAAATAATCAGGTAAAGGGTCTTAAAATAGAAATGTAAATATCTTACTATTTTTTCCTTTTTTATTACTAAGTCACTATTTAGTCATAGCACTTCTATTTGAAGTATAGTGCTTAAAAACACTGATATTTTGTGGCTGCAAGAATTCTCAAATCATATAGTAGTTCATTACACAGACCACATATTGTTCCTTTGACCTGAACCAAAGCACTCCCCTCTGTACTCTTCCCAATCAGAAATTAAGTTGTGCTTTAAATGGAAAGCTAGAGTGCTTCCTGCTCTTTAATCATGTGCAATAGGACAGATGTCTTTGGTGACACTAAACATTGTAAAGGCTCTGAGGGTCTCAGTCTGAAGCTGGTGGGCCTCTCAGCTTGCACTCACACCTCTACGAAGTGAGCAGGAGGATGCGGTCATCCAGACCTAAAGTGAGCAGATGTTTTGGAGAAAACCTGCAGCTTCTAGTGACATGGCAGTAAGACCCAGGAGACACTGTAGCCCACTGCATTCACAGATCTCAGCTCACAGCACTATCCCAGGAGGCGCTGTTTTAAGTCCGGTCCTGTGCAGGTGAGGAGAGTGACAATACAGTGGTATTTACAAACACCTGCATCTACCATGTTAGCCCCCGGAGAACATTAATGGCACTACTATGTACGTAGTAATATTTTGTGACTATGATTTCCCTGTGTCCTTAGATATAATTTCATGACTTCAAAATGAATATGTATTTTTTCATCACAACTGTAATGTTGTATTCACAGTCATATTACTGAGTTAATTATTCAATCCAAAAGCAGAACAAGCTTGTCATTTATAGTTGTCACTTACTAAATCCTTCGTGACTAGTTTGCAATAAATTTCAGTTCTGCATGAAATTATGTGTCCTCAGTAAATCATATGAGAGCCTATAGGTTCAGCTGTGACAGTATTGTAATGTTTAACAAACAACTTTTATGTAGTTTTGCAAGAAGTACAATTAATATTATTGTAGATGAGACCACCTTATCACA